CATCTTCAACAATCTCGCCAACACCATCACCTATCACAGGAAGAGTCCAGGAGACATTGCAAAGAAGTTAGGGTATGGTTTTGTGATAAGTCATCTTCTTATCACTAAAGGAGTCTTAATGCGCCCTGGAATTCGGCCAGGACCGAAAGCATGTCATATGAAGCAGAAACCATCAGGGTATGACAAGCAGAAGGCATTGGAGTTAGGGATTCCTATTGAGCAGGTTAAAACCAAGAGAAAGTCGAGAACTCCTAGGGTTTCAGAGGATGATCAACCCAAGACGAAACGACAAAAGCAAGAAAGACACTCCTCTCGGAGTCAGGCAAAGAAGGCAGAAGCTACTCCACCTGTTCCAATTCATCCAAAATCTCCTCAAGAGAAGAAAGATCCTACTCCACCGCCAGAAACAATCGTTGTAAAGGATTCATCCGAAGAAGACAATCTGGTTCTCTCTAGAATCATCAAAAAGGGTCACTTTCGGTCTCCTGTCAACCCTAAACCTTCCCCGGAGAAACTTTCTACACCGAAAGTAGCAGACATGAAAGAAGCACCTCCACAGGGGGAAGAAGTTCTAAACGAAGCTCTTTTTGAGGGGGAAGCTCAACCGAAAGTTGTTCTTCCTGAAACTCTTTATGCTGATCAAAATCCAGAAACCGATCTCGTTTCGTCTCAAGTCCTACATCCACAAGAACCTATTTTGGCAGAGCAACTTCTTCGTGAGTTGACACAAGAACCTGCTGATGTAGAAATGGAGGCCAGATGCTTAAATCTTCCACAAGAACCTGGTTCGCCAGAAAAGACGAAAGAAGCGTCTACTATATTTGTTGATGAGATTTCTCTACCACAAGAACCTACCAATGCAGAGCAGGTTAATCTGACACAAGAACCTGTGTTGGTAGAAGAGACAGCTGTTGTACCAGTCGCAACTCCCGTTATCCCGAATCTTTCTGTTCCAGCTCCCAAAACACCAACACCAGATCAAATTCTCCGAGCATCGATTGAAAGCGATTATCAACGAGTTCTGCAGTGGCAAAAGTGGTGCACTGCTCCTCTAAGGACTTTTGTTGAAACCTTTGAGGCTATGCAAGACGAAGAAGACTTTGCTCTGAAATGGGTTGGCACAGATGATGTTTACAAAGCTCTGCGTCTTGAAGAAATCAATCGAGTATTCTCATACAAGATGACAAATCGCACTCTCGGGAGAGACAAAGCTCCAATCTGCATTGAACTTAACAAGCCACCATTGGATCCAGCCGTGGAAGAAGAAATGAAGCAACTTCGATATGCCATGCTGCTATCAAAGATCAAGACGACGTTAGAAAAGGAACATCAAAATGATCCTAACTGCAATGTTAGTGGCACGAAAGATGAGCTTGGACGAGAAATTGAAGAAGACGAAAGTGATGAGAATGAAGAAGAAGATGAAGATGATAATGATGATGATGTTGACGATGCCGATGACGAGCATGATGACAATGATGATCAGCTGGGCAATGCAAATGTTCAGGAAACCGATCCCGAAGACAGTGATCCAATTTTGATCGGTCCTGATTATGATACTTTTCCACAAAGATCTCCCTTAAGGAAACTACCTTCTGACAGTGATGACCCGAATGAAGCTTCAAATGAACATCCCGAAGATTTGTCTCGTGCTATAGTTCCACATGTCCAACCCATGGACGAGACTCCGATCAAGCAAGAGAACGAAATTGTGCGTGAGGGCAAACTGGAAGCCTCACCAATTCTTCTCAGCTCGGCAAGTGGTGGAAAAAGGGAAGCACCACATCAAGATGAACAAATGGACACAACACCAACAAACATTGAAGAAGAGTCTACTGCAGAGTCTCCACGAACTATCATGAACCTCATGAGAGAAACTGTCCATTCAGCCGAAACCATTCATTTGCAATATCTTGCTTTACGGCAAAAGGACACGAAAGTTTTGGATGATTTATGCAAAAAGGTAGATCTTTTGATGGCTGCCCAATCTCAACCTCAACCTCCACCTCAGGAACAGCCTCAACCGTCTCAACAAGCTCAATCTGATCACAAGTTTCTTGAGCGAATAGCTAAGAGACTTCATGAACTGGACACCACTATGAACAAAGTTGCACGACAACAACACGAGCTCAAACACTCTCATTTTGGCCTTAAAGAGCGTGTCGACCTAGCATGCACCAAGATTGATACTTATCAAGACAATGCATACCAACTGGGAGAATATGCTCTTCAAATTCTCGGGTATGCCCAAGATATCTTGGTTGCAATCAATAAGGCTTCCTCTGTTCATCCTACCACCCGTGCTGATGATGCCAAAAAGGGGGAAAAGAGAAATGACGACAAGGATAAAGATGATGATCATCCAAGAGATCCGAGAGATAACACGAAAGATCAGTCTCCAGAAGCAAGACACTCGCCTTCTCAGACACCAAGAGACTCTAGCCGAACAAACACAAACCCATCCCATCCTCCTTCAAGGTCTCGTGGTTACCATTCCTCGAAGTCAAGATACCGTGGTCGATACCAATCCAAATCAATTAAGCCTCGCCAATCTTTCGGTTCTGAAGCCAAGTACATCTTCACGGGTTTGTCCAAGAGAGAACAGACGAATCTAAGGCAGAGACTCATGAAGAACAACAAAGTAACTATGGATGGCATAGGAAACTTTGTGGACTTTTTTCCATACGAAGAAGGCAGTGGTAAACGTTTTGAGGGTTGCAATGTTCCTATCTGGCTTAAAACAAGGGATAACCATACAAGGCAAGATCACATTAGCACCCAAAACGAAAGGATCAAAAGAGAAAACAGAGAGCTGTGGAAGAAACATGATGAAGAAATTAAAAGAAGAGAGGATGAAGCAATGGAAAGAGAAAGGATCAGGAATCTCATTGAAGATCTTTCTAGTGTAACCAAAGACTCTCCACAGAATGTTATTCACAATGCAGCTTTCAAAGTACACAAAGAGTCAGGAAAGAGATATCAAGAAGGCATGAATTCATTCGAGCTAATTTCGTGGTGGAAGGCTGGAATAGTTGAAGGAAGAAACATTCGTGAAGCCTATAACAATTACACAAGCCTGAACATCAAAGGAGAACATGAAGAGCTTGTCAGGACAAATCCAATTAAAGTTTTCAAGAAAAAGATCAATGAGGGAATAGATCTTAAAAGGATGCTCAAGCAACAAAAACAAAAGGACGACAAAGAACTTAAGGAAGCTGCTCAACAGAAGTCAAAGCTCTTAGAAATGTAAGATATCCTTTATTCTGTTGTTTTCATCATAAAGTTTTTGTAATCTTCTATCTTATATGTGAAACTCTCATTGTTACACATCTCGTGTCACTTGTCTGAGTTATTTGTCTTTGTCTTATTTGTTAAATGCTTTTATCCTAGAAAGGACTTGTACACTCTCAAGTAAGGCTGCTTTTATAATAGAAATAATCTTTATGGAATCCTTTTCAGTCTTACAAGAAGTGTATAGGTTTTGGCATCATCAAAAAGGGGGAAATTGTTAGGAACCTTGTATTAGGATTTTGATGATACCAATGTAATGTAGAAAAGTAGACCCCTAACTTTTAGCTTTTCTATTCGCTGCTTTCGTCCTAGACGAGAGTTGCCATAACTCCTCTGTAATTCGTGTTAAGCTAGACAAACACACGAAAATGAGTTATGATTAGATGTTAGGGTCTCCAAGACGAAAGAAGACACAAGGCATGATGAACAACAACGAAAGTTAAAGCAGGAGTTGTCAACTATCATGAAAGGACAGTTCTGTTAAAGACGAATCACACCAAGCATTACTTCTCTTCGACAATGAGAAGAATGTTCTACCTGTCTGATTTGACAACATCCTAGGACTATAAGGACCTCATCTTATGGGACACACTTATCAAGAAGCATTAAATGAAGATGTACTATCTCCTGGAGCTAAGGGACAAAACCCTAATGCTTTCCATACCTTCAACGGCTACATGGTACAACCTCATTAATGGAGCATTTAATGCATGAAGCTCCCCGGTCCTTGTCCAATGGTTAAAAGGTTCGAAAATTTCATCTCCCTCCAACGGATGAATTTTCATCACCTATATAAACCCACCTTCATCAACTAAGAAGGTGCTGGTTCATTCTCACTCGACTTACTTACTTGCAAAAGCTCTTGAACGCTCTTAACTTCCCAAAAGCTTTTGTGAACCAGTATTGAGGTGTTAAGTTACTTGAAGAAGGTCTTTGATCATTTTCTTACACCTCAAAAGAAGTCTTGCAATCTGTTCGAAGCAATCATCTCTTAGCCAAGACTTCATCGTTGGAGAAATCAAGAAATCATTTTCTACCAACCTCAACTCAGAAGAAGAAGTTGATAGAGGCGGAGTAAACTTGAGAAGTTGAAAAACCTACGAAGGCTATCCGGCTTAGTGATCAAGGAAGTCTTTGTGTAATTGTACTAAGAAGTGATAATGCAATCCTTCCAAAAGTTCTGGAAGAAGAGTGGAGTAGGCAACGTTGGCCGAACCACTGTAAAATCTCGTGTTCCTTCTATCTCTTTACTTACGCATTTTACTTCTCCACTCATATCATCTTTTATCACCCTTACTGAAAGCTTTCCTAATTTCACAAACTCGTGCAAAGTATTTAAAACGAATCTAACTTTTCCGCTGCGCCAAAACACCGAAAGGTGACGTTTAGGGCTTTTCACGAAAAGAGTCTATTCACCCCCCCCCCCCCCCCCCCCCCCCCTCTAGACTCTCGTTACTCTCTATCGGGACCAACAGAAAAAAAGTGTCAAAGATCAATAATTCCCTTTAATAGTGTAATTTGGTTTGCTAACTAAATAGAAAACCGTGGACTGAAATATCTTAATTAAATGGCAAAATATTGTAATTAGGTCTTAATTTTTAATTATTCAACAAGTTACTGTTGATGTACGTAGTAGTCACTAAGCTAATACATAACGTAACCTTATATATATATATAGAATCCAAAAATGGCTAAAAGTTAAATTAAAATAAAAATGTAAGTTGATGAAAATTAACATTGAGTTCAATAAATTTATAAAAATCAAATACACCATGAAGTACTACTCATCGCTATCATAATCAACATCGGGATCATGGCAACAAGTGAAAGTTAAAAACTTTTGCATACGGCGAGAGCATTCAGGACATCTTTCATTTTCAGGAATTTTGCTCAAGCTAATTGGATATTCAAGGGTACAACAAGAATGCTTATCCTTGGAAAGAATCTCATGGTGGTCTTTGAATGCCTGGCCAAAACTTTTGGTGGCATCTATGTTTTCCTTCCAAATCTCGTAGTCATTTATGGCTTGCAACATTTTACTTCCATGTCCACATACAACCACTTCTGATCCTTTGCTTAATAACACCCATCCTTCAATTGTTGCATTCTTGTTTTCATTGGACAATAATTTTTTGAGTCCTTGCAAAATTTCATCATTGTTGTATTCTTTGACAAGGTGATTAGTCATCTCTAAATATTGAATTCTTGACAAAAACATACTTCGAAGACGGGCCCAAAACCACCATACTCCAAAAGAATCATCCAATGCGCAATAACTCATTCTTTCTTTATTAATGATTCCTCTTATCATTTTGTTTTTCCCAATGTAGGCCAACTCAAAGTTCATTTGGGTTTTGGAGGCAACTTCACGTACCTTGAAAATGAATTCTCGAATCCATTTAATGTTGTTTCCTCCATATAAGAAAATATATTTTTCCTCATGAATCTGAAAATTAAAGAAAAACATATTAACTAATTGTTAAATAAATAATTATATATGAAAATACAAAGTTACTTGAATGTGGGGTTACCCAATCATTTATTTGTGGTGCCAGAAGATGAAGAGTCCAAGCAGTTTGTTGTTGCCACAAAAGTTTCTCCTTTTCGCTGTCATACGGTGTAGATTGTGATGTCTGATGATAAATGGAAATAAGGTAATTAATTAATGTTATAAAGTGCTTATATTGCTAGCTGCAATCTTGAAAGAAAAAGAACAATATATGATAATACGGTATAAATGAATCAAAAAGTAGAACGTAGTAGTGTACCACTTCTTCAATTATGCCTTTAACTTCCATTTTCCAAGCATTTATCTGTGAATCGATGTTACGTACCAAATCGCTTGTGATTGAGTCTATTTTAGGTCCCACATGCCAGGATTCCGAGCTTGCTTCAATACCGTAAATCCCTTGCTTCAACTCGTTTTGTATGATAAGACTTATGTTATGTGGAACGACCTTTACCTGTATTGTATTTTGTTCAATATTATCGGAGGTCCAGGTGAGCATCATGTGGATGACATTTGAGTGAGCAATTCTTCCTCGTTGATCAAGTGAAACAATTATGAGTTCCTCTCCACATCTCATTTTAAACAACTCTTCCTTAACAAATCTTGTGAATTGTGGCCTCATCATTTCTTGTGGATCATTCAACCAATGGAACCACATCTTGTTTCTTAATTTATGACATTGTTGCTAATACTCAGTGCTCCATGATGCATCATCCTGTGTGATTGGGATCCAAATAATTAATGGTCTTGACTTGATGTCAAACCAATTTAAAAAATGAATCCATTCTTTAGGGACGCCAACACCTGATGTTATTAGCAGCATCACTAATTTGTTTTCCCAAGCCCTTAATGCCTAACATATAAACAGAAATATTAACATGTATATAAGAATGGAATGCAAGCCTAATAATTCCTAACCCAATCAATTATCTTCCCTTAGTCAAAGACTTGACCCAGTTGTGTATGCAATCTTTAATAACTAAATATGTAAAGTTGGTAAATTCTATAAAAATCAACTAAAAAGTTAAATTTTAAATCTCAACCATAAATATTATACATCAAGTAGTAAAAAGTGAACCATTTGAACCAAATAAAATAAAAAAAATAGTAATAAAACTCTAAAATCGAAACACTAATTGCAATGTGGTTTTGCATTTTCGCAAGTGCAAACTTTTAATACGGAGTACTAAATATGCAAAATGTTAACACTAAATGTGCAAACCTAGAAAAGTTTAAAAATTGCAGAATTTTTTTTTTTTTTTTTAAATAAAGAGCTAATTCATTAATCATGAGTTGAAAAATGGCAGATTTTAGTGTTCATGTTTGCATAGTAAAGTTGGTGATAATTACAAAATTACCCCTAATATTTTTTTTTAAATATGATCTGGTACGCCCAATTTTTACAGATGTAAGATTGTGATTAGTTCTTAATTTTCTCCTAAAAACTTGTTCTCTCTCTCTCTCTCTCTCACACACACACACACACACACACACACACACACACACACACACACACACACACACACACACACACATATATATATATATATATATATATATATATATATATATATATATAGGGAAGGGATTAGGTGCGGGAAGGGCTTACCGTGCGGTTAATTGTGCGAGTGGACGCACATTAAGCATTAAACTGACGCACTTTAACTACACAACACGCATATTAAACACACAAACAAAACACCTTATATAAGAACACAAACACACGCACATTAAGTACAAAACTCACGCACACAAAATTCAGTACACACTCACGCACATTAAGCCCCAGACTCACGCACATTAATCACCCGCACAACCGCACGATAGACACTTACTCACACTGGAACTTAATTATATATATATATATATATATATATATATATATATATATATATATATATATATGATTGTACTACGTTTTAAATTTTACATTACATATATTAGTTAGATGAAATAGTTCCACTAAATCCAAATATAATATAATTAATTAAACAAATCTAGTTCAATAATTTTTTCTTTCTAAAGAAAAAACAGCAGTACTGCCGTAGTAATAGTATGGAATTATATTGATCGAAATATATGGCTGTTTAGATTCAAAACCTTACCGAGTCACAAAATATTATCTTATCATTATCTTTGACATTAAACATTAATTTAAAAACTTCTAAATTATTAGAAGAGCCGTGAAATAATGCATTTCGCAATGCTTCATAAGATTCCTCCTCCTTTTTCTTTGCTGCATATATTCATATGAAAGAACAATGTATTAATATGTGTGTGTATAATCTTCAATAAATAAATCAAATGCCTAAATATTTGGCAACGGCTTTATATATAAAATCAACTAACCTAGTTCTGCAGTGAAAGTAGCCATTAAGGTGGTTATTTTCCTATGTTCATTTTGAATCCTGTAACAACAACAACAACAACAATAATAATAAGCTAGTAAATTATGTAATTTTGGGTGATTTTTTGTGAGATGGGTCGTGATAGAAAATATAATACTTATGCTTTGAAAATGTAATACTAATTAGAAATTTAAAAAATGTATAGATCAGTAATATTTATGGATTGAACAGTTACTTATAAAAAAATTAATTATAATATTAATCATAAATAAATTAATTGATTGTAACTAATGAAAGAAAATGTAATATTTATGAAAAATTAGACTCGTCTTACGGAATCACATATGCGAGTTCATGATCATAGAGATTTGCCATGCAATTTTTTCCATGCAATGTCATGAGGCACTGTACTATCAGAAGGTATGTACTAGGTAAATCTTACCTTGTGACCTTAGTAAATCTTATCTTGTGACCCTAGTCGCATCGGTAAAGGACTATATAGAGAGATAAACTAGTACAGATTTTCCGTAATTAACCGACTGAAACCAAGAGTACGTACTAATAGTACACTATATTGATATTAACTAATAATGAATATATCAAAAAATTAAATCTTACTTGAAGCGAGGGTCACAGGGATAGGCGGCACAGTTAATAACATTTCTGCCTATCCAATAGGCAACCATTGGCAAGGCCGAAATTACAGATTGCGGAGGGGAGTAAGATAGCCATTGTTTGAGCTCAACCACACATTTGGTCAGTTCTATGGCTGAACTTATGCTATCCTCAAATTCTCTTTGGTTGTTATTGTGGGAGGATAATGGTGTTGTAATTGGACAATGACTACTTTGTTTCAGATGTGTCAACTTCCAGGTTAATCCTTTGCCTTTTCGCAGTAGTCGTGAAATAAGGATGAATTCTCCATGGATTATGGAGAAAGCTGCAATCATAAGGACTAACTTATCCTCCCATGAATATGGAGACAAAATGCTCAGTACATGAATTGTGGTGGAGTGTCGATTTGCAATTGCACCGGAAGCTATCTGGAAACTAAATGACCAAAAATATAATAGAGCCATCCTATCAGTCATTGCAAACATTACTATACATTTTAATCATGTATCATAGAGTGAATTCCATTTTTGGTCCTACTGTTATAGGGGCGTTTTCAATTTTAATTCACCTTAATTTTTTTTGCCACTTTATAACCACTATTATTGAATGTGTTCCACTTTTAGTCCCACCGTTAGTATTTCCATCAAGAGGCCGTGTAATCTAGGGGTATTTTGACATTTCTTCTTATCCAAGACTATGTTTGACTAAAGAAATGAGAACATTAAACCTAAAACCTTAGAAACCTCGCCGGCCCATGTTGGAACGAACGAAACGATGTAGCTTTGGCTTCACATTCTCGTTGTTCGAAGAGCTATCTTCGAATATCGGAGGAGCAGGACGAAGCGCCTGGATTAAAAGAGAAGAGACAAACATAAAAAGACCAAAATACCCTTTGATTATACGGCCTCTTGACGAAAATATTAACGGTGGACTAAAAGTGGAACACATTCAATAACAATCGTTATAAAGTGGCAAAAAAAATTAAAGTGGACTGAAATTGAAAATGCCCCTATAACAATATGACCAAAAATGGAATTCACTCTCTATCATATATATATAGCTCCAATCGATCCCAAGAATCTAATCACACCTCGAATGAAAGTTGTTTGATATGAAGTGGAAGTTGCTTGTAATTATCGAGCTCTTCTAGTTCATTCAACTCCTCCACCATGGCTTTTTGAGCAGTACCCTGCAGATCAGATCCCCATAGTACATAAATTTTTCATTTAAAAATAAAAACCAAAGCCTTCTTCAAACAATTACTCCCTCCGTCCCGAATTGGATGTCTCATTTACTTTTTGCACGCTTTTTAATGAATTAAAGTAAATGTTATGCACTTTCCAATTATGCCCCTCACTTTTTCACTTTTGGAAATAAAAACAATAAAGAAAGCAAAAGCTAGAAGGGTAATTTGAAAAAAGTAGAATGATGGTGATGTTCAATTTTGGAAAGTGGACAACATTTTGGGACAGACTAAAAAGGAAAGTAAGACACATAAAATGGGACAGAGGGAGTATATTATTATACGACATACATATATGGATTAGTTGTAAAGTACCACAATAGCCTGGTAAAGTCAAACATAAAATAGTTTTAAGATATCAGGAAGTGATAAGTAGAATGACAAACCATCTCAAGGCTGAGAGCCTTTTCTGCCATGTTCAAAATAGCGTTGGTGTTAAATTCTTTGCCATCATAGTTGTGAGTGGACAAAACCTGTTCCCTGATTATACTCTCATCAACAGGTTGGCTGCTTAGTGATGTGAGCATCATTGTCGGTTGTGAAATTCTTCTCTGGGATACAAGTACACTTGTTTGGGCTGCCATATTGAATGGAGAATATGTATAATTAGCTACTTGAGGGTGGTTTCTGACAATTTATAACTAAGATTGATACATATCATCATCAGTCACCAAAACATCACTTATATATAATAGCATTTGGAGTAGAGATGGAGGAGAAGAATCAAAATGCCTATCAGATAATCAAAAAGCTAAAGAAAGCAAAATTATTCTTATCCCTCAATGCACTCCAATCCTCCAAGAATGCATGCCCAGATCGATGCTCACTGCTAGTAAAGCTAAGCTTAGCTTGTTATTCCATTCATCTTTTTCCTCAGCTCCTTTACATTTGTTTGTCCTTTTTTTTAGTAACTAGAGAAACTTGTAGATATTATCTGAGGGTACAGTGCGTGTATATTGAATAATGCTTTGTAATCTTAGACAACAAACAACCACAAGGAGGTAAATCAGTCTAAATTTTCCATAATTGAGTGACTCAAATCAATTAAAAAGGCGAATAGACAGCTCCCGATAAAATTAAACTTATAACCATTAGTTACCAAGTCAATAGTTACATCAACTGTGGCTGCCCCACATTTGTTCCGTCTTTGTTGCTTCTGTCCAGTACACATAGTGAGACACGCAACTTCAATTCAGACCATTCTTTCTTCTTTTAGACTCTACGCATTCTAATATCATCTTTACGCCTGTGAAGTGCATGTGCAATTTCGTATATATTGACAAATGCCTAATCTGTAGAAAAGATTTCCCACCAAATTAAGTTTTATATATTTTTATTTTTTTCTGATCTCATAATTACAAAAATAGTGTTAATTACATTTTTTTGTCCTAGATTTATAGGTGACAGTCCACTTTTAGTCATTTTTTTGAAAAAAATATCCACTTTTAATCTTAGTATTATTATGGCATTACCATTTTTAGTCCTTCATCAACAAAACAATTTAAATTTCGTCAAATACAAGAGCATTTTAGTGTTCAATTTTGATTTTTTTTTTCAAAAAATAAACATAAAAATATAACGGGTGAATCTGCTTTGTATAAAAACGATAGAAATGTCTTTGTATTTAATGACATTTCAATGATTTTTTTGACGGAGGACCAAAAATCTTCATGCCACAATAATACTAGGACCAAATAGGGATGTTCTGATAAAAAAGAACTAAAAATAAACTATCACCTATAAATTTAGGACAAAAATGAAATTAAACTCATTAAAAATAATAATAATGGCATATTATATTGTTGGGAAAATGCAAGTTGTTGGTTTTAGTTACAGGTCAATCTGTTTATTACCATCTTCACTTGCATGTACTCAGTGGGAGATAGATGAAATGGCCTCCGGGCTGATCCAGGATATATATCATCAAACTTCAATTTGGCATCGCCAAAAATGTTAGTACTTTCATTAATTTGCTTTTCATTTATTCAGTATTTCTTAGTTAGTCCATCTACGAACTAGATAAAATATATCAATGGATTATTCAACTTTACAATAAACTACATCAAAATCAAAATGTCGATATAAATAAATGTCTAAATCTTATGCAAATATCAATTATATATGGAGATGTTAAGACCTTAAATCAAATTTTACATTTTTATACATAGAACCAGGGCTCAATCTCAGAATATGAATGCTGGTCAGGAGCAGATTCAACCTCAAAAATATGCTAAGAGAGGCAAAAAGGCCTCTCCCAAAAAGAAAAGATGAAAGTTTTATGTTGGAATGTGAGGGGAGTTGCCTCCCAAGGCTCCCTTCACAGAATAAGGAACTTGGTGAGAACTTTTAAACCAGGGATAGTCTGCTTAATAGAGCCTTTTAAAGAGTTATCTGAGATTGGCCACTGGGCAGTTATGCTTGGTTTTGAAAACAGATTTTGTGGGTCTGATAAGACTTGGGTATTCTGGGACAGAGGAGTGACATTGATCTCTGTAGAAATAGGAGACCAGCTGATAAATTTGGAAGCCACAGTGCCTGAAATTGGAAACTTTAACATATCATTCATATATGCAAAATGTGATAGAAGTATCAGGTTGAATTTGTGGGAACAGATAGAGAGCATGGCAGAGGGTCCTATGAAGGATCAGAAATGGAGTCTCATAGGGGACTTTAATTGTATCTTGAAAAGTGAAGAAAAGAGAGGGGGCCAGCCTTATAGTATGTGGAAGAGTAGAGATTTTCAGAATTGTGTTGATTCTACAAGGCTGAGGGAAGTGGTGTTCTATGGTAATCCATTTACATGGTGGAATGGTAGGAGGGGTGAACAAGCAGTGTGGGAAAGATTGGATAAGGGATTTGTGAATGAGAATTGGGAAGGAAGCTTGAAAACACACATACATCATTATGCAAAGTTAACTTCAGATCACTCCCCTTTAATAATGAGTGTAGAGCCCCAAGTCAGGATGAGTAGAAGGCCTTTTTCCTTTTTGAACTCTTGGGGAGAGCATGAACAGTTCCTAGGGATAGTGAGGGAAGCATGGCAGGAGAGAGTCAATGGAAATGAAATGTATACATTTATTACT